TATATTTTTAATAAGAGATTGTAACACCTTTACATCTAAGACCATTAAACCTGTTTATCTGGAATGTCTGGAGAATTATAAGAATAATATTAGATAGTGGAAGATGTAAAATAAGTTTAAGTGTGATGCATACTCATTTGGCATGTATGCTTCAACATTGTAACAAAGTTATGACTCATTTCACAGATATTACCAATAATATGTATCTCAAAGTACAAAATTTGCCTAAAGGGATTTTTTAATGTCATTTTTATCTTTTAGGATTTTGAATTATGGGATGATGTAGGATTAAACATTCCAAAACCTCCAGACTTATTACAACTTTACCGAGATTTTGGAAATCATCAAGTGACTGGGAAAGATCTTGTGGATGTGGCCAGTGGAGTAGAAGAAGATGAATTAGAGGCTCTCACACCAGTTTTAGACAACCTTCCTCCAACCCTTGAAACTCCTCCATCTATAGAAGTAAGAAATACAGTGTCTAATCTTATCCATGTAAAGTATTTATTAAAGTATATATAATCATATGTGTGATACTCAATTTCTCTTCTTCTCTGGTTTTGATTTTAGAAATCCTTGATAGTACAGAAATTAGAAGATAAAATTAGTTTATTAAATAGTGAGAAATGGTCATTGATGGAGCAAATCAGAAGACTTGAAAGGTTAGTAGTTTCTACAATAGTCTTAGCACTTTAAAAGATACTGGTTACACACCTATAATATTCAATAACGGAACTTAGAAAAAATGGGGTATACCTATGAATGTCCATTTTGTATCTGTGTATTCAAAGTGGTTGGGATAGATATATATAGTTGCATTCTCTTAATGAATAGAATGATTTGTTCTAATGGTGTTTGTAAATAGGATCACAAGTCCGCATCTTGTACAGCAATTAACCACTAAGAAGAATATATGCAGTGTATTATTTGTTGAAACTGTACTTCCGATTTGATTTGAAACTGTCTCATTGCTATCTGTTTATCAATAAAACTTTGAAAAAAAAAAAAGATACTGGTAAGTTAGACAAATATACAAAACAACATTTCTAGTGTAATGTCTAATTTTTTCCACCTTGCAGTAGTTCTGAAAATTTATAGGTCCTTTATTTAAAATATAAAAATACCTTTTCTCCATAAAATTACATTATTAATATTGCATTATTATCTTTACAGCTAATTTTGTCTTAGAATTATGAAATAAGATGTTTTGACTTCATGGTTTAGCCAGTAACAATAAAATAACACCTTCACATTAATGTACATATTTTCCACTTACTATTTCATTTACTTCTTATAATATGGTTTCATGGAATTATCCCCATTTTGCAAGTGAAAAAGAAATATTAAATTGTAAGCTAAAGTAGGATTTATTAATCTACTTTTTGTAAAGAATTTATATTGCTAAGAATTTATATCTGTCCTTTTAGGATATGAAGCAATAGTGAATATTGTACAGAAGCATTAAACATTTTGTAAGACTTAACCTATTGCCAAAAATTCAGTTGTTCTCTGGTAATTGTTCTTTTGTTCTACAGTGAAATGGACTTCCTCAAAAATGAGCACTTCGCCATCCCAGCAGTTTGTGACTCTGTTCAACAATCCTTGGATCAATCTCCCCGTAAAGACTCTGTAGATGGTGAACAGAGTCCAATTATAAATACTTCAGACAAGGAGAAAAATGAGGATATTCATCTTTCAGTATCACAAGAAATTGATTCCACTACTCCTAAAAAGAACTCAGATTCTTTTCCTAGGAGAGAAAAAGAAGGAATGCCATCATCTTCCCCATCAAGTAAAAAAACAATTCATTTTGATAAACCTAATAGGTTAGTTTGCCTCCTATATTTTGAAATGAAACTTTTAAGTATTTAGTATATTAGAAAACCTTCAGTTCTTATTTGAATTCCTTTCGCAGAACAGATATATGCATTTTACATTTGACATGAACTTAAGATATAGCAAAGTACATGACACAAAAACATGTCACAAAATAATTACTACATTAAAGTACTTCAATAAGGAATAAATAATAAATAGCCTGGGTTCTATGTTAGCTATTACTTAAGATAATAATTAATATATACTTGCATATCTGTGTGCTGTTAACACTTTTACCCACTGCTTTTGGTCTTTTACTCAGAAGATGATTTTTACATAGCTGACTGTAACATAGGAGATAAGTTTTGACTCTAGTCCTTTTTCCTATCTCTTTCCATTACTAATATTGTATAATATTCTCATAAATAATTTATTATTTTATGAGTATATGTTTGCACTAAATAATGATGACATAATGATTCCCTATGGGGAGCTGGTACACATACTGAACATACCTTAATTCTTTTGTTCCCTTTCACTGCCCTTCTACCCCCCTCCTCTGGTCCTCTTCCCATTTCCAAAAGATCTGTCCTCCTATTTACTATTGTCTATCTTTTATTTTGCGCTTTCTTTATATTTTGGATTTCTCATATAAAAGAAACCATGCAATATTTAAGCTTGTATGTGTGATTTATTTTACTTAACATTATGGTCTTATGGTACATTTGTTTTCTTCCAAATAACTCAAGTTTATCATTTATGATGTGGTAATACTCCACTGTGTATAAATACCGTAGTTTCTTTATCCACTCATGTGTTGATGGACTTTATAGGGTGCTTTTAAGTTTAGCTATTATGGGGGCCGGGGAGATAGCGCAGTACAGTAAGCGCTTGCCTGGCAAGCACAGGGTCCTGAGTTCCATTCCGGGTACCGCAAAAAAAAAAAAAGTTTAGCTATGATGAATTGTGCTGCTATAAACATGGATATGCATGTTATCACTATAATATGTATTTAGCTCTTTCAGGAAAATATCTAGAAAGGTAATTGCTGGATCAAATGGAATTTCTAATTTTAGTTTTATGAAGAATCTCCATAGTGAGAGTGATTGTACTGGTTTACACTCCCACCAACAACGTAGCAGAGTTCTTATTTGGATCCAACCTCACCAGTATTTTTCTTGTTTGATTTCTGGATGATAGCCCTTCTCTCTGGAGTAAGAAGAAATCTCAGTGCTGTTTTAATTTGCATTTCTTTAATAGCCCAATAAGTTAAACATTTTTTTATGTGTTTATTGGCCATGGGTACTTTTCAGAGAAGTAATTGTTCATTTCACTTGCTCAAAGGCTAAAGAAGAGAGCTACAAGCCAGCATCATCAATGAATATAGACACAAAATTGGTTGTGTCTTTTGGTTGGGTCTTTTATTTGAGGGGAGTCAAATTTTTTTTTTTACTTCTTTATTTATTGTCAAGGCTTAGCTCTCAAAGGTTATTTCCCATGTGTAGGTTGTCTCTTTACTCTGTTTCCTTTGCTATACAGAAACAGTAATTTGATACAATCCCATGTATTGCTTCTTCCTAACCTTAGATGTGACTTCTTACACAAATTGGGTTCTGTTCAGAAAGTCCTTGTTTAAACCTATGTGTTCAAGAATTTTACCTATTTTGTCTTCCAGCAGATTGTGTTTCTGTTTCAGTTTTGATTTTAGTTTAAAATAGGGTGATAGACAGTGTAGGGTGATTTTAGTTTAATATAGGAGTCCAGATTCAGTCTTCTGCATGTGGATAGCCAGTTTTTCTAACATAGCCAGTTTTTCCAACAGTGTTTTTTAAAGAAGCTATCTTTCCTCCAGCATGTTTTGACTGTATGTCAAAGATCAAATAGTCAAAGTGCCTGTGATTGTATCTGTATGTTCTTGTGACATTGATCCACATGTCAGTTTTGATACCAATCCCATGCTGTTTTTACTACACTTGATCTTAGCCAAAAGGCCAAGAAGCAATCCCCATGCTGTTTTTAATCATTGTAGTTTTGATATAAAGTCTTCTATGTTGCTTTTGTTGCCCAATATTGCTTTTTCTACTGCAGTTACTTCTGGTTCCATAGAAACTGTAGGATTTTTTTTTTCTAGCCCTGTGAGGAATACTGCAGGTATTTTTATTGGGAGTACATTAAAATTATTTATCAGTTTTGGAAGTATGGTCATTATGACTATCTTTGATTCTGCCTGTCTAAGAACTGAGAATAACTTTCCATTTTCTGCTGTCTTCTTCAATCTTTCCATAATGCTGGGCGTTTTCTGTTGTTGTAGAGGTCTTTTACTTCATTGGTTAGGTTAATTCCTAGATATTTAGTTTTTCATATATTGTGAATAATACTGTTTTCCTAATTTCATTCTAAGTCAATTCATTATAGGCATAGAGAAACACTATTAAGGTTTGTGTCTTAATTTGTACACTGGTACATTGCTAAATGTGGTTATTATGGGAGTCTTGGTGGAATTTGGGGGGTCTTCTATATAGATGATCATGTCATTTGCAAATAATGATAATTTGACTTCATTTCCCATTTATTTCTTTCTCTTGCCTAATTGCTCTGGTTGAGGTTTCAATAACTATTGAACAGGAATATGATAGCTTTTTTGTCTTGCTCCTGATTTTAGAGGAAGATTTTTCAGCTTTTCCCTATTTTGTATAATGTTGGCTATTTTTCACAATAGTTTCTATGATATTAAGGTAAGTTCCTTCTGTAATTTTTCTTGAAGGTTTTTATCCTGAGTGCATGTTGGATTTTGTCAGAAAATTTTTCTATGTGTTAAGATCATTATGTGATTCTCATCCTTCTGTTGATTTGATGCATTGTAATTACAAGTACAGTTGTTTCTTAATTCATTCTGCCCGTCTGTCTTTTGATTGGGGACCATTCACATTGGTCACATTCACAGTCACATTGAGAGTTAATACTAAGCTTATGTATATTGATCCATCCCTGCATCCTTGGAATTAAGGAGCCTACTTGGTCATGATGTATCATCATGATGTATGACATATAATCTTTTTTATATGTATAATACTTTGCATATTGTTAGCCAATATCAAGAATTTTTATGTATATCAAGAAATTTTAGGGCTGGGGAGATAGCTCAGTAAAATAAGTGCCTGCCTTGTGAGCGCATGGTCATGAGTTCAATCCCCGGTACAGCAAAAAGAAAAAAAAGGAAAGAAAAGAAATTTTATGTTTGTGTTCATTGAAGATATTGGCCTGTCATTCTCTCTTTTAATCACATACTTTTTGCTTTGGGAATCAGGGTAATGGTAGCATCCAGTAATTACTTTGGAAGTTCTCCTTCCCTTTCAATGTCATAAAGAGTTTGGAGACTATTAGCATTAGATTTGCCCTGAAGTTCTTGTAGAAGTTCAGCAGCGAATGAAACCATTGGATCCTAGGATTTACTTAGTTGCTAAGGGTTTTTTTTGTCGTTGCTGCTGCTTCAATTTCATTGACTGTTACTACATTGTTTAGGGCTTTTTTATCTTCTTGGTTAAGGTTTGGTAATTCATATGTAGTTAATTATCTATATCTTCTGAATTCTCCAGTTTATTGTAGTACAAGTTTTTAGAGTAGTTACTAATAAATTTCTGGATTTCAGCAGTATCCATTGTGATTTCATCTTTTTCAATTCTAATTGCACTGATTTGTGTCTTTTTGGTGTGTCTCTGTGAATGGAAAAGGATTTGTCTTTTTTTTTTAAATTCAAACAAAGAACCTTCTCTTTGATTCATTGATTCCTTGTTTTTTATTGTTAATTTTTACTCTGATATTTATAATTTACTTCTGTGTGCTAGCTTTGGATTTGAATTATTTTTGTTTTTCTAGGACCTTAAGGTGCATCATTGGATTATTTATTTGGACTCACTCTTGCTTTTCTAATGTGGGCATTCAACGCTATAAACAAGGGCCAGGGAGATAGCTCAGAAGAATAAGTGCGTGCGTGGAAAGCACGAGGTCCTGAGTTCAATCTACAGTACAGCAAAAAAAAAAAAAAAAAGCTGTAAATGTCCCTCCTAGCACTGCTTTCATTGTTTCTCATAAATTCTACTTTTTTCTATGTCTACTTTATCTGAAAATAGGGTAACTACTCCTATTTGTTTTGGAGTATGAATTTTAGTCTGAATTTTTCTTTGGGTTAAATATGTTTCTTGCATACAACATACCATTGAATTTTGTTTCTTAATTCATTCTGCCAATCTGTCTTTTGATTGGAGACCATTCACATTGGTCGTATTCACAGTCACATTGAGAGTTAATGCTAAAAGGTAGGAGCCAAGGAGAAGGCTCAGCAGGTGTAAGTGCCTTCCTGGCAAGCACAAGGTCCTGAATTTGATCCCTGGTATAACCAAAAAAAGAAAGGGGAGAGAGAGAAAGAGAGAGAGAGAGAGAGAGAGAGAATCAACTTATTCCTGTTATTGAATTATTTTCCTATTTGATTCCTTTTCTTTTTCCTTCTATTTAACTGTTCACCCTATCTCTTGTTACCTTCCTGTTAGACCATTTGGCATTGTTAGGTTCTTTGTCTCTTAATAGGATATCCTCCAAATTTGGGGAATGTGTTTGTTTGGTGTATATTAGTTTCTTGAGGTCCTTTTAATCATGGTAGAACTTTCCCCCTCAATTTTGAAAGACAGTTTTATATGATATATCAGTTTGAATTGGGAGTTGTTTGCTTTTAGAGTTAGAAACACTTTACTCCATATTCTTCTGGCTGCTAAAATTTGTGTTGAAATTCTGCTTAATGTAATGAATTTACCACCATAAGTGATTTGTTTCCTTTTTTCTAATAGTTTTTAAGATTTAGTCCTTATGTTGGACTTCTAGGATTTTTTCCTACGATGTGTCATACAGATTCTTTACTCATCATAGCTGTTTGGAGTTCTTTGTACCTCACATATTTGGTTTGTGCTATTATTTATATTAACGGGGTTTTTTGTGCCCTTTTTTCTGTCTTTTGATTTTTCATTAATTGTATTTAACTTTAAATTAATCTTTGCATCACTTAGCAGCTCTTGGATGCATTTTTCAAATTCTCTAGTTCTTTTTATGGTATCTCTAAGTAATTGGTCACTGATCTCAACTGTGTCTAGTTCTGACACTGTTCTCACATGAGTCACTTGTACCCATACTTTTAATATGATTTATAATCTCCTGGGTTTCTTTTTGGTATCTTTTCATGGACATAACTGCTCATATTGTATATCGTTTAGCTCAGCTAATATTGTCTTTATTATTGTTATTATTTCTATCATCTTGGGTAAACACGCTCATTGTTTTGTTTATTAAGTCCGTTAATATCTTCTTTGAATTCATTTAGCACCTTACTGAAACTCTTCTGTAGTGGTTTTGTGGCTTTTTGTTTCCTCCCCCTCAGTGCCCCATGGATCAACTTTGGAGGAGTTGAGACTTTCTGGAGGTATTTTGTTGCACAGTTTTCTTATGTTTGTTTATCATGCCCCCAACGCCCCTCAGAGGTGGGTGATTACACTGAAAAGACTTTGCTGGTATGGAGATCTCCTTACTTAGTGTTTGCTTTTCAGTGCTGTGAACTTTGGTGTCGCTAATATAAGCCTTTTTGTTCTAGGATCAACTACTTTTGTTAATTTTGAAAGGAAAAATGTAGTGTAATTGCCCAACACCCAGTTTTCTGGAAATTGACCACAATACTATTACTTATACAAGGGCAATCCAGATGTTGGCATAAAGAAGAAAACCAATTAGCAGCAACAACTGTGAGACACTGACAATAGCAACAAAGTCAGGAACATTAGCGTCAAAGACAAACTATAGTGACATAACATAAAAACAAATAATGTACTACCCTCGGGAGTCAGGCAGATAGATCAGTGGAATAAATACTTGCCTGGCAAATACAAGGTCCTGAGTTCAATCTCTGGTACCACCGCCCCCCCCCAAAAAAAAACCCTGTACTACCCTTAACTATAGAAAAGAAATCATTAAATTATAGTATAAGCATTAAAACAACCCCAACATTGACCTACAATTTAAAAATCTCAGTGCAACAACTAAACCTCAACTAACAATAGAAAAGAATTCAGCAGTAATAGCAGAGTTAATTAAATGCCTTAAGATTAATAAATCTTTATGATTATGCTAGGAAAGATGGAGGGGGAAACAAGAAGTAAAATTTGAAAAAGTAGGAAATGTATTTCTTAATGTAAAATTAAGAAAAGTGAAGTAAAGGATCCTATTAAAGAATAAAAGGAAATTAATATAATTAGACAAATGTAATGGAAATTAACAAAAAGGAAAAAAGTAAAGATAAATTCCCTGTCCTCAAAAAACCAATGAAAAAAAAAATTCAGCCAAAATAACTTCCTCTGCATTTTTCAATAAGTGGTTAATTTCCAATATCTGCAATCTTGGAATCCAGCAGGTAACACTTTTCTCTACCTACCTTTATGATCCATGAGTATTAGGTACTTACCCTTCTCCAATAGTTCCCTTTTTGTCCATGTACCTTAGGCTGTGGCAACCATCCAAGCCTAGATATATCCTTGTTCGCATTGAAAATGAGGAAGACAGTTAGGCTGTTGATCTGTGCTTGATGTAGGCAGCAGGGTAGGCATTCAAGCAGACTGCTGAACTTACTAGGAGGACTTCAGACCTAACTGTTCCTGAAAGCCACAATATCAACCCTGGCTCTGCTCATCATGGAAGCCAGTATGTCTTTTCTGGTGTGTCCTTTCTAACATAAGCTTAAACTTTTCAGTTTGCACCTTTTCCACAACTATTGTTGTGACTCTCTCACTCAGTCACTGTGGTAATACTGGAAACCCTGAAGTGAAGTTGTTCTCTGTGTGTCAGTTTTAATTAACTCTTCTCCAGATGTCTTGATTAAGCCCACTTGAATATGGTCATCACTGCATTGGGTTTCTTCTCCATCCTTGGTCTGCCATGGAGGAGTCACTCTCCTAATGAAACTTCATGCTGTTTTTGCAGTTTACAGTGACCATAGGCTTTTCTTGGGCCTACCACTGGTGGCACAGTCTGTTGTTTCTCCCTGTATCTGCCTATATTCTGGGATTATCTTCTTTCCTTGTGCATTAGCTTCATCCAAGAGCAAGTCATTTGTTTGGATGGTGCTTCTCCTACCCTATACCAAAGAGAAACAAAATGTAGAGTAGACTTGAATTTGTCCAACAGCCACAGCAGGATTGAGGAATCCAGGGGCATGGAGTGGGCAGTAGTGAACAGAGCACTTTCGTGTTTCATGCTGTCAGGGTCTCCAGGCCTTGTTCACTTATGAAAACTTGAACACAACAAAACCATTTATTTGATTTATATTAGGTTAGAGTGCCTGAACTCAGAGATGAACAGAGTGTGGCCCCTACCCTGGTGCTCATGTTTTTTGGTAGAATATACATTAAATGATTTTTAAATATTTTAGATAATACTTTAAAAAAATACACTGAAATAAAGAATATTTATTGAACTCTTCATATATGAGGTATGATCAAAATACTGTGTTTTTAAACTTACTACAGTAAAAGACATCTTGCTATTAATCCCCCCCAAAATACACCCCCTCACTTTGCAGACACTTTCTGAAGCAGTTCTGGAAGTCTTTCATGAGTGTGTCTTCATTTGCATTCTGATGGGTGGCTCAGTATCTTGAATCAGTTCAAAACATGTACCTCTTGCGGAAATTTTGACTTTGATGAAGAGCCAGAAGGTACATGATGCCAGATCCAGTTAATGAGGTCGATAAGGAAACGCCTAAATGATTTTACCAGACTGCCTTTTTGTTAAATGGTATATGGCAGGAACTTTTACAGTACTTTTTATCACACTTCTTAAAGACAAGATTTACAGAACTGCTTTAGAATGTGGCAAGAACAACAGTATAAATGAGATTGAAATGAGGGGATCTGTTTTGAGGGTACCTAATGGCAGTATCTTTTTACTATAATAACTTTTATAGTAGTTTTTTAATTGAAACAGTTACCATATTTTTCATTCACCCCTTGCCTGTTATCATTTTCTCAATTCCTTATTTGTAGTAGCTTATTTAATATGTACAAATTTCTTCCTTCTTTTAAATTAAGTCATGTTATATCCTGTGGGAGAATATATTAGAAAAATAAGGTTATGTACTTAATAATTAATCCTAAAAAGTAGTAACTTTATTTTAAGAAAAGCTTTCCATTCATGAATCACCTTTAATACCCAATAGATCATGTGCAGTTTTTCCTTTAGCTGTTAAGATATTATGGAGGTTAGAGAATTAGTAGTTTTCAAAGTATTTATTCTAATGTATATAAGGTAAGATCGTAGAATATAATGATGTCTACATTTGTAAAGTTCTTTAGTGTTTAGAACTTTCATACATTTTTTTATACTCCTAAGGTACCTTATAGAGATAAGTGATTGTTAAATTTACTTAACTATTTTTTTTTAAGCTCATACTATGTGCCAGGCAATTTTATAAGAAATACAGTGGTAAGCAGGACAGACAAGAATATTCACTATCATCTGTATCAGCACTTCCTCAGTTTCTCTCAGCAACATATTAGGGCAACCTTTGTAGCCGCTCTATGTTTACAAAAGGTTCTGTAATTACAGGAAGTTGGTGGTAGAATTAAGTTCTCTTTTTAGATTTTGCAAGTATTTTCTGTATATATTGACCATAGTACCACTTCAGGTTTGATTCACCAACATTTCTGAGCCATTCATTCACATAATATCAACCTATTTCTGTATCATCAGTTAATACTGATTTTTTTTCTCCCTGTATAATTCTTGAAACGTAGTTAACATTTGTGATAATAGTAGTAATGTAAGAATAAGGTTTATAATATGTAGCTTACTTTTTTTTAAATGCCAGTGGTAACTCTTAGGTGTTTTCTCTTGTTAACTCAGTATTTTTTTTGTAGGAAATTGTCTCCTGCTTTCCATCAAGCACTACTCTCTTTTTGTCGAATGTCGGCAGATAGTCGTTTAGGATCAGAGGTAAATTATAGCCAACATGCTCACAATTTTGAATCACTCTAGTTTTTTTTTTCCCCTCTTTGCAGTAGTAGAATTTGAATCCAGCAGCCCGCTCCCCCCCCCCCCCCCCCATAATAGGCAAGCATTCTACCACTCACTGACCTACGTCAGCGGCATTTTTTATTCTAATTTGAGGCAGTCTCCTAAATTGCTCAGGCTGGCTATGAATTTATAATTCTTTTGCTTCAGCCTCCTCAGTAGATGGAATTACAAGCATGCACCACACCTGGCATCTACTAATTTTCTTATTATATGAAAGCATATATAAGACTGTTTAAAATAAAATTATTAAAAATCCTTGGATTAGAGGTATGTTTATTAATATTAAAGTAACCTATGTAGTGTATTTTTATTATATGTCTAATAATATCATTTGGATATAATTCAGGAAAACAATTTCAGAGTAGGTTGTTTATATTTTGGTTATTTTTAGGTGACTCCATTATTTTTATTTCATTAGAAGTAGTTGTCTTTTTTATTTGTTTTTTTGTTTTAGAAGTGGTTGTCTTCGATAGCTGAGTTTGTTAGGTATGTGATCAGTTTTCCTCAACTCTTTTGTAATTGTTGCAGACTCCATTTTGAGAATATGTTTAGTTACTGCTTTTTTTTTTTTAATAAGATTGGGTCAGCTTCCTTGGGTCTCTTCTTTTTGTATGCAGTTTCATTATACGAACTACAGTATTACCCTAGCCCATGGCTGCAGCTTTGTTGAGCTTCTTTTCAAAGACAAAACGACCATTGAGGCTGCCCCAATACTGTATATCCTTACTTGTCCCTTCAGCTGAAGCCTAGAGGTCTTCCTGGCCTCACCCTTTTTACTGGTATGTTATGTTATGTTATGTTATGTTATGTTATGTTATGTTATCTTAAACCTAGGGCCTTCACGGTGAGGTACATCTCCAGTCTTCTATTTTTTGAGACAGTGTGTTCAGAGTTGCCAGGATGAGTTTAAAACTCTGATCTTCCTGCTTTAGCTTCCTGAGTAGTAATTACTCCTTAGGGTTTATATTTTAAATATATTTTAATTTTTGGCATGTTGTAATTCTATGTATTTATGGAGTATATTGTAACATTTTGACACATTAATACAGTGTAAAATGGTCAGTTCAGGATCATTTGCATGTTTATCACCTCAGACATTCATTGTTTCTTTATATAGGGAATATTCAAAATCTTTCTGCTTTTAACTGTTAAGTTAATTGTCATCTACTATAGCTTTGCTGCTATGCAATAGAACATTATAAGTTATTTGTCCTTGGGGTGGAGACATAGCTCAGTTGCAGAGTGCTTACTCTCTATCACAAATCATTGGATTTGCTCCCCTACAGTGCAAAAATAAATAAAAATTATTCTTTCTATCCAACTATACCCTTTTTCATAGTATTTTTAATCCATTTCTGGCCCAGAGAAACATGGTACTATTGTTGTGATTTTTGTTAACTTACAATATTGGAATGTTTAGAATAGAGATTGTAAGGTTAAAGCTTAGATTATTTTTGCTTACCATGGTACACAAGTCCTCCACTGTCATCATTTATTAATTCTTTGCTTTTCTAGGTATCTCGAATCGCAGACAGTGAAAAAAGTGTTATGTTAATGCTGGGACGCTGCCTGCCACACATTGTACCTAATGTGCTATTGGCAAAGAGGGAGGTAAGACACATTATAGTATTTTTATCCCAGTAGTCCCATCATGTAATTCCATTATATTGTCCATTTTTTGTCATTTTGAAGTTACAGTGTTATATTTTTGTTTTGTTAAAGTCTGTTACTTGCAATCATATTCTTACTTTTGTGCATGCATCTCTGCTCCTAGAGAATGGTTTTACACCTGTGTCAGGTGAGTTGAGAAAGGTGCATGGTCTTCATGTCTTTCTAATTTTGCTTAAAGCATAATTAGCTCCTGCAACATTATTACTGTAGGTCCATTTGTGTGCCTTGAACATTGTTTTTACATTACCAGTTGCCTAGTTTGTTCTGTTTCTGCTTTTGTTATGATTTGCTCGAGATGTCTATAGAAGTGGTTATTCTTTGTATTGAAAATTAACAGGGACTAATAATATAGTGGTAGCTGCCTACTTTAAATGCTAATTTGGCAATAAATTATACTTTAATAGTAAGTTACAATATTGATAATTTAAAAGTGTCTTAAAATTTTTTTATACTTGATAGATATTTAAATATCAAAGATACAGTTATAAGTACTATATATTTTAGTCCACATAACATGCCAGGAATTATCTTTGTAGTTGTATTTATAAATTATTATTAAACATTATTATTTTAACCAATAAAAGATTATTGAAAAATTATGTGTAATCTCAGTTGAGACAGTAAATAATTTATTTAAAGATAAGTTAAATGTTTTATTTAAATTAATGAGATTAATGTCCAGTTGGCAACATTTTTATAAAAAATACATTAAGAATAATTAAAAATATATCACATTTCTGCCATCATTTTCTTAATATTTACCACTGATTTTACTCATAATTTCTGGGACCTACAGTATAGGTATGTAATGTATTGGCAAAACCCATTGAAAGCTTATCCTTAATTAAACATTTAGCACAAGAAATTTGTACTGATCCTCAAGAGAACATGTTATACTTTAAAAGTTATTCCTATGGATATTCTTAATTTTCAAAAATTTAACAAACTTACTGATGGTCTTATATTTGTCTAATATTTAAAAAATAGTCATAAGGTATTAATATGGCAATGTTATATGTCTTGAAGGATCAGTGTCCAATTTCACATTGTTTTGCAGTTCTGCCTGGCAGAATGGTGTTTGAGCATCTTTTCTGTTTTCAGCTTGGAACGTAATCCATGAAATGCATTAATGTTTGCATCGCCTTTACTGTTTTCTTAATATTATTTTTAAATATCACAGAAACCTATCTAATTGTCCTGAGATGCAGTTTTAGTTTTTTTAATTTTCCATATATCATAAAGATTACCACTAAAATCTGATTGTATTGCATGTTGTATTTATAAATTTGCATCATTAGTAATCAGATACATTATATATATAGTTTACATATATACACACAAGCACACATATATCTAATATATAGTATTTCTCTGGCTAAGTTTAAATCCTTTACATTTGAAATTTTTATATTTACAATTTTATAAAGAACTGATTATTTTTCTATTAGATATTTGTATCTTACTCAATTTTGATCAGAAAAATTGGCCATTTATAGTAAATGAAAATTTTAGTCTCTCAAAATTTCACTGGAAAATAATGAAAACACATGTCTTTGTTTGCTTTAAATCAGACCCCTGGGAGAAAAACCTGAGAACATATACTAGAAATGTGCAAGACCCTGTGTTCAATCCCCAGCAATATATACAAACACAATTTTAAAAAAACAAAACTTTTTAATTTCACCCATATTTCTTAAATTTTTTTCTTTCTCTTACTTTTTTGTTGTTCTTTTTGAGACAAGGTTTCACTATGCAGTTCAGGCTAGCTTTGAACTCACTTTGTAGCGCAGGCTGGTCTCAAACTCACCATGATTTCTCTGATTTAGCTTTCTGAGCGCTAGGATTACAGGTCTGTGCTACCAGGCAAGCTTGTCCTTAAATTTATTCTTTTTGAAAAAGCCCTTGTTATTGAACGATTCATATTTTTCTTAAGTTTTATGTACTCCTTCAGCATAATATTTTGCATTGGTATGTAAATATAGTTAAAATGTTTTTCAGTAAACTGATGAACATATGTAACATCCTAATTCAACAAAACACTAAAAATAGATTTAAAGCTACAATAACACATAGTTTAATATTTTCAAATATAAAAAGATTCACAATGAAGGAGCTGGGGAGACAGCTCAGTACAATAAGCGCCTAAGCACAAGGGCCTGAGTTCAATCCCCAGTTCCAACAACAACAACAGAAAAGATTCACAGTGAAAACTTTTTATTCTCGTATTGTTTAGCCACCATCTCACATGCAGTTTTACTAGGTTGTAGTAAGTCATTAAACTAGTTTTTTTCCATTGGTTTATTTGTACTTACATTTTTGAGTTTTAAGAGTTCTTTAGGGGCCGGGGAGATGGCTTAGTAGAATAACCACTTCCCTGGCAAGTGCAAGGGCCTGAGTTCAATCCCCAGTTCGGCCAAAAAAAAAAAAAAGGTTCTTTATATATTTTTAGATAAAACCCTTATCACATAAAAGATTGGCAAGTATTTTCTCCCATTCTATGGGTTGTCTTTTTATATTCTTCATTCTTTGATGGACCAAATTGTTTTTTAGCTGATTTACCTGTTTTATGATTTATCTGTTTTCTTCTGCTTTGGGTATCAAATATGAGAATTCTTTCTAAAATCATAGCTACCAATAGTTTTATTACTTTAGCTCTTACAGTTAGGTCATTCATCCATTTTGAGTTAATTTTTATGTACAAAATTAAAATAGGATCCAGGACTACAGTATTCTTTACATGTAGCCATCCAGTCATACTAGCAACATTGGTTCAAGAGAAAAAAAAATTCCCATTGAATCCTCGTGCCAGTCTTTTCAAAAATTGTGTTAACTGTGTAGTTTGTGTTTCTTCCCAGATGTTTATGTTCTGTTAGTTTTCTAGCTACACTGGTACTGAACCCAGTGGTACTATATTACTGAGTTATATCCCCAGACAGATTTATGTATTTATTTATTTTTGTGGTGCAGGGAATTGAACCCAGAACCTTCACACTGATATACCCCCAGCCCTTTTATAATTTTTATTTTGAGATAGGGTCTCACTAAATTGCCCTGGTTTACCTTTAATCAAGACATTTCTGCCTCAGCCTTCTGAGTAGCTGGAATTATAGATGTGAAGCACCACAACCTAGAGTGCTATTTTTATTACTGTGGTTTTTTTTGTAAATTTTGAAATTGGGAAATATGAGTCTTCAAGGTTTTCTTTTTCAGTATTGTTTGATTGTTCCCTGTATAGCCTCATATGAATTTAATGCTCAGCTTTTGATTTTTGCAAACAATATCATGGAAATTTTGAAAGATTACTGTACTTTGAATTTGTAGATTTCTTTGAGAATTCTACCATCTGACTAATAGAGTTTTCCACTACATGGACTTATATCTAATTTCTTTCAAGCATTTTGTAGTTTTCAGTGTACAAGTCTTTTGCTTCTTTGACTAATTTTATTTTTCAGTATTCATTAGTATGCATAGTATTGTAAATAGAATTGTTTTCTTAATTTCCTATTCACTGGTGGTGTGTAGAAACATGAGATATTTGTGTGTTGCTCTTATACCTTCCAACTTGGTTGAATTTTTTAATTAGCTCTAGTTTTTTTTTTTATGAATTGTGTACTATTTTTTACTTTTTTGCAGACTCTTTTTCAATTTGAATAGCTTTATTTTTTTCTTCTTGCTCAATTGCTGTAACTAGAAATACCAGTACACTATTGAATAACAGTGCTTTCATTAAGCAAATGTATTTATTTCTTATTGCATATGTTAACTGTAGGATTTTTAAAAATTACATTTAATCAAGGAAATTCCCTTCTATTCTTTGTTTGCTGAGAATTTTTCACATGAAATGGCATTGAATTTGGTAATATGCTTGTTCTATGTCTGCTGAGGAAACATACAATTTTCGTTCTTTTAATGTGTTGTATTATATTGATCAGCTTTAGATTGCCACTATACAACCTATTAAGTCTTACAATTCTCTTAAAGTGCTTTTGGACTTGATGTTAGTATTTTGTTGAGCATTTTTGTGTCCATCTTCACCCCAGATAGTAGAGTATGGTTTTTTGGTGGTATCTTTGTCTAGTTTGGATATCAGGGTAAGGCTCACTTTTTTGAATCAGTTTAAGTAGTGCTAATCCCCCTTGAAATTATTTTTCAGAAGTTACCAATACAGCCATCTGGTGTTGGACTCTCCTATATTGGGAAAACTTTGGATTTGATTCAGTTCTGACACTGTCTCAAAATAAGAAAGTAAGACAGTTTAGTACATAGCTCAGTGCAAAGGCCAAGAGCTCAATCCCTAGCACCACAACAAAACGTTATTAGAGAAAAAAATCATTAATTTTAAAGATTATTCTAATCTTAGTCAATTCCATCTAGGCTGTTGAGAGCCAATTGACACTGATGAGAAGACTTAAGATATGGTATACTACTGAGCAGAGAGCTTTAAGGATGAAAAAGAACTTATTTTGGAAATACCATCAAAAGGAGAAATCAAACCAATGACTGAAAGCCAGCCAAGAAAGGCTCTACAAGTTGTACTTATAAAGTACGCCCTCTCCAAAGGGTTGTCTTGCTTCCACCTAATCCCTCTTCCTGCTTTCCTACTGTCAGCACACATATACTACCATTTTTCCACATTCTCCCTTAAACTCTTACTCTATTTAAAGTTACAATGAAGGTAAGATCCTTGCTATAACTACAAATATACACATAGTTTAAAGTACAATCTTCATCACTTTTTATCTCAAAACCCAAGCATAATAAAATTACTATGTTGCTGCTTATTGTTTTTTGTTTTATTTTGTTTGGGTTTTTTGTTTTGTTTTTTGGTTTTTTTTTTTAATTTTAGGGAAGGGTCTACAGGGTATTTAGGGTCTCACTACTAGATTGGACTCATAGTGATTCTCCTGTTTACAGCCTCCCAAGTGCTGGGATTACAGTCAATCACAGTCTTAGCATGCCCCAGGGATGGGGCTGGCACAGCAGACCCAGGAATTGAACCCCCAGCCCCTGCGCGTGCTTGCAGGCACTTAATCCACTGAGCTTTTTCCTATTATTGTATATGCCTTACATTATCTGTTCCATGAGGTTAAGTGAGCTCTATCAAAGGAGAAGTTTGTATCACCTACTAACAGAGAGAATTTTGCAACTTGTAATATGGCTATAAATGTATCAAACAGAATAGTGGACCAGGAACTTGAAGAGGTCAGTTTTACTGCTTAGTATCTAAGAATTTAAGGAAAGGCAAACTGTTTTCATTTTCTCAAGTGAAACATGTAAGAATGAAGATTATTGCAGAAACAAACAACATGTAATTTTGTAATTTCCTACTGCCAAGTTTTCCTTATGAGACCAAAGTTAGCCTCAAAAACCCTCAACACAGATTTCCCAGATCACTTCTCAACACAGTAGCCATTACCAGTCAATCCTAATCAATACAAGAGAAAAAAAGCACTTGTCAATCTGTGTCCCCCTGAGCTCTATGATTTGTGAATTCAGAGTTTTTTCTCTTTCACTGTTAGCAACAACTTCTGTTACCACTTGCTTTCTTTTCTTCCTGAAAATAGCATCAACATATAGGAAGTCACTGCTGATAATTTTTGTTTGATATTCCATATCAGGGAAAAGTTGGGTATGCCCTACTTTAAACATTAAAGCTAGTTTAAAACTGGTGGTTAAAAATTGGTGTGTCTGCTCTGCCAGACGGCCTTTCTCTTATAGCAACATAGAGCCAAGAGATCTACTAAGTGGTGGCAAAAAACTCTTTAGAAAGAGTAGTCTTATTTTTATAGAAATAGGATCACTATAGAACAACTGAACTGGCTTAAAATAGCCTAATTTCTCTATCATTTATTTATGTTCATTGTCTGTTTATACACTGTTGAAATGATGAATTAATTGTGTATGTCTCTTCTTTTTATTGTAATTTGGTCTCTTTCTAGTCTCCAAAGCACCAGTACATCCACACTCCACAATTTATTAAGTCATATTTCTGATGGTAGACTTGAATCAGTTTTGCCCTTTGGCTTCATCTCTCCAGCTGAAGAAATCTATTCTTTTAAAAACTTTGCTTAGTGGTAGCTAAATTTTCATCAGAAAGAAAGGAGACTTTTAAAAATGTTTTTGTGAAATTAAACATAAATGTATTGAAAGTACTAAAGTAAGGAATGGTATCTAAAAACTTAGGAATATTTTACATAAATTCTTAAGCATTTTAGATTTGATGTCTCATATGGTACCAAAACAACAGTAACAGCCATGGTAAAAAAAAAAAAAAAACCTTTGGTAGTTATAACTCTAATGATAACATTAGCCAATGTTAATTTTCCCCAAATTATTATTTATTCCTTTTGTTTTTCAATTGTGGTCTGTTCTAGAAGGTACAAAGGCTTTTGTATAGAGAGATTAAAAGTGGCAGAATAAATGTTTTAAATTTTTTACTTCATGTAATTATTTGTAGCTACTTTTTTTTTTCTTTCGGTACTGGGGATCGAACTCAGGACCTTGTGCTTGCCAGGCTGGCAGTTATGCCTCTTAGCTGTTTTCCAGGCCCTGCAGCTACTCTTACTTACATCATTTTTACCTGAGATTTAAATTTATATGAAGGGGGGCGTGGCCCTAGCTCAGGCCTTTAAGTGGCTGCTTCCACAAAGCTCTCAGCCTCAGGTTGCTGGAGTTCGAACCTCACAACTCTCCCGCTGGCCAAAAG